TTTATAATGAGGAAGTTCGAGATTTGCTAACAAAAAATGGTGAAAAGTTGGAAATTAAAGAAGACGGTGAAAATGGCATTTATGCTGGTGGTCTTTCCCTGCACCACTGTCATGACGTAACTCAATGTCAACGCCTTATGCAAATCGGTAATGACAATCGTCATGTAAGTTTTTTTTTGGCAATTTGAAAATGTATTTTAGCAGTGGCAAATAATTCTTATAAATGACACATTTTATTTAAGCTTATTCACTTGTGTAAATATTTCTTTAAATAAGGTCTACTTGTTTTCATAATAAAGACGCTCAAGTTATTTTTTTTCTTGCAACCCAGTTTAGCAGTTTTTTTGCTTAGGTTGGCGCAACATTAATGAACAAAGATTCATCACGATCTCATTCGATTTTTACAATATATATTGAAATAATGCTTGAAAACGGGTCTTTAAGAAAGGGTAAACTAAATTTGGTCGATTTAGCTGGTAGTGAACGACAAGCAAAAACAGGTTGGTAATTCCTAAACAGCCATAATGAAGAAAGACAAAATAAATACAGATTAGTTGGTTTTGATATTACAGAAAAACAAATACTAATCTTATCAAACAATAACTTACGAATTGGTTTTTTGTTGTTGTTAGGCACCACAGGTGAACGCTTCAAAGAAGCAACAAAAATTAATTTATCATTATCGGCGCTCGGGAACGTAATATCGGCACTGGTAAGCGGAAAAGCAAAACATATACCATATCGAGACTCAAAATTGACTCGTCTTTTACAGGTATCTAGTTGTCAATTCTCATTCTTGTTTATAAGCTTAAAACTTGTAATAATCTTGCTACATCATCTATAATCTGAGCCCGTATAACAGTTACTTGAATAGACTACATAGCCAATCTCAATTATCTCCAGAAATTTAGTTCATTTTTACACTTATTTGGTATCAGTTCAGTGTAAAATTCAAATAACACTGAAAAATATTTTATGCAAGGTTAGTTTTAATCTACAAATGACAATATAATGAACATTGAATTAAAAGAGTAAAGTACTGACTAACTGTTTGTAGGATTCATTAGGTGGAAATACAAAAACTATAATGGTAGCTTGTATATCACCGTCAGATAACAATTATGACGAGACGTTGTCAACGCTTCGGTATGATCACAGATGAAACAATTAAGAGATAGTTGATTGTTAAAATTATAGTATAATGCAGAAGAAAAATGTAGTATTTTGTTTGTACACGCATAACACATTTAGATACGCAAATAGAGCAAAAAATATCAAAAATAAACCGCGTATCAACGAAGATCCAAAAGATGCATTGCTTAGAGAATTTAAGGCAGAAATTGAACGATTACGAGCACTAGCTCAATCTGGTAAATTCTTTAATTAGAGTATAATAAAAATAGACAGTTTTGAAACTACAATACATAATAGCGAATTCTGTTTTTTACTGCAACAGCGAAGCAAAAAAGTGCGAGTGACTGAAACATTTTAGGTGGTCAGGCCAGTGAAGATGCAAATGCAATTAAGGTTGAACGAGAACATCTGAAGCAAGAATACGATGCTGCAATTAACGAACTTCGTATGCAGTACGAAAATGAACAATCTAGTCGACTAAAGTTGCAGGAAGAGTATGAAAAATTGAAAGAACAGTATGAGAAAGCATCTGAAGATTTGGAACTTGAGCGTAGAATTGATAACAAAGAAGCTAAAAAACGTCTCGAAATTCTAGAGCAACAACTTGTCGGCGGTGAACAGGTAAGCCTTACTGACAGTTTAAACTATGTGAATAGTTATTTATATAAATGCTAACAGTGAGCAACAATCACTTTTTTGTTCAGCTTTTACTTGCAAAACATTTAATTTCAGATAAACAATGTAGCACTGAAAGAAAAAAGAAATCATCGAATTAAGGAAGCTGAAAACAAAATGCATCGTTTAGCCGGTAATAGTTTTTTTTTTTGACTCAAAAAGAAAAAATCTTAAATTTTTTTTTGATTAATAATCTAAGTTACACCTTGCCAATTCTTAGTAAACTGACAAGGTATTAAAATAAAAAATGTTTAACACATGCACTGAACTGACCCAATG